GAATGACCTACAAAATTTTTGGTCTGTTAGTCATATTCATCTAATTCGTGTAAGTAATGCGATCTTATCCCATTGTATGCTGTTGCATTATGTCTTTGTTCCGCTGTAGAGAAATGTTAATTCTGTAATGCGTATATACATGTTAGTAATGAGAGAAACGATATATCCGAGCACGATTCAGAGAGCTTCAAAGCGCCTTGTTTGGCGTGTAAATCGTGCACTGGCCGATGTTGCATGCTTTTACGTGCACCATCCCTGTTCTCTTAGTATACAAATACAAATAGATATGAGCTTTAGCGCCATTATTAATGTTGTCCTAGCATTTAGATGACTTTGCACGGTCACGCGTTTGCGCGTGAAATTCAGTCATTATAGTGCAGATATATTCGCGCGAATTAAAGAGAGATGGCGTAAAAGATTCTTTCATTAAATCCGCGATGATAATCGTGTAAAGTGCAAAAAATTCTGAGATTTCTGAGAAAATATATTTCTCGATGAAAGAGAAAAATGACCGGGAAAGAGAGGAGGCAGTTAAAACCGAGCGATGAAAATGGTGGTGCTTAAGTTGTAAAGCGGACGAATAGAGAGATTACGATGATAAAACGGGCCTTCATATTAAAGCGTTGGAAAATAACGGAAGAAGAAAGTAACAACGGGTCATTTTAATCATAGCCGCTTTATTGCATTTCAAGATCTCTCAGCTGAATAGCTCGTATAAAGTAATATTCGATCGTTGTTTCGTAAAGTTACAGTTTATAAGATTCTATCGCGTTTTTCAGCTTTAATAATCCTTTATAAAATATATTCTTTTTCTTATATTCAGTAAGAAAACGTACTAACTTCGTGAGTCAAATTGAAACCGAATCGCTTTCCACATTGTTTGTATGTTGTATTCAAATGTGGGCATATGTTTTGGTGCTTTGTTCATATCTGACGAATTTAAAGCGATGTGGCAGCGTGTGTAACGTCACATACGTGATACACCGAATGTGTCGCGTCAGAGGATAGTCTCGGCAGCACTAGTCCCTCATGGTCCTTTTATTTATTTCCATTTGGCCGAACGCCAATATTTCGACAGCAACGGGCGATATTAGTCCCTTAGAGTATGTGGCGTTTGTGTGCTACTACTAGGTATTCGTTGAGGAACCATTGTGACTCACCGTCCTCATAGTTGTTCGACAGCTCTTTTTCGACTCTCTTCTTTATACCCTCGTCTCTCGGTCTCTAGTTGCCGAGGACGCGCCGTCGAATATAAATCTTGTCGAATCGATCCACGTGGACTTGCACGACCTTTTGTTCTCGTTCCGGACGGGAACAGCGGTGTCCTCTAATTGCTATTTGTCTACGAGCTTCCGGTACCGCTCGTTAACGTCCAGTCGAATATTTTATCGTAAATGCATCACGGATAAGCGGCCGT